CCCTCCACATGTGTGCCAAGTAAGAACTATCCAGCTCGCCCTGGCCAGTTTGGCTCAGTGAATAGAGCATTGGCCTGCGGACTCAAGGGTCCCGGTTCAATTCAGATCAAGGGAATGTATGTTGGTTGCTGGCACATCCCCAGTAGAGGGTGTGCAGGAGGCAGATGATTGATGTTTCTCTCTCATCAATGTTTTAACTCTCTATCCTTCTCCCTTCCTCTCTGTAAAAAAAATCAATAAGGTGTCCCTCTTCCACAGTGATTTGAAGCATTTTAGAAAAGTATGTTGGTTTAAAGAACATTTTCAGTAAGTGATGGAGATTGCCACAACTAGAAAAATCAGATTTGAGATCAATTTCTTAAAATCAATCAAATTGTCTCTTTCCTGATGGGAGTACAGAGGCCCCGCCTTCCTCCCTCCCTTGTAGTTGAAATTGGAATTTACATAAGTTGGTGATTTAAGCGAGGCAGGGAAATTCTCCCTCCCCACCCAGCATACATCATGCTGGGTCTTACTAGCCCTTTATACTCGCGTACCCTCGGTGCCTAACTCAGTGTCTGATGTAGTCAGAGCTCAAAAAGTATTAATAGCTGTTAATGAATAAGTGAATGTTCACAGGTCAACTTCACGCATGTCACAACCCTGTGTGCTTCCCACAGGCCCCGGCCATCACTGGTGCTGTTGACAGCCCCCTAGCAACCTTTTACTTATAATTTGCCCCCCTCCACAGTGATTGATTGTCAAAAGGGACAATCCTGTCTTCCAGAAAACCGGTGACATGAAAGATTTCCTTTTAGGTTAGTGACTGAAGAAGACCGGACACTTAGAACGAGAAAGGAAGAGAGCACTAGCTTTCAGCAAAGACTCAGGAGTAAAGAGGAAGGCGATAATTTCGTCTACAGAGCACAACCTGAAATGGAATTTAATTATCACCTAGTGAATTCAATCGGAGGAAGCCAGCCAAACCAACTCATATTTCTGGCATGAACTGTCTAGCTTGGCTGTCCATCCCAACCAAATCAACAGAAACCGGTGCCAAACTCCTGTTTTATTGTGTGGCGTATTGGCACAGACATCCTCTTCTTGTTAAAAATAAATAAATAAAATAAAAAAGGTGCTTGAGTACAAACCCAGCAGCTTCTGGAAGGTTAACACACACCCGCAATGTTGGGAAGGACTGGACTCTCAGCTTCAGGAGAAAGAGGACACGACTTGCAGTGGCTTTCGGGCCACAGCTCACACATGAGGTCTCAAGGACAAGAGCCTAACCCAGATTCCCGGAGTCAATCAAATGTGCAGCGTCTTCTCCAACCAAACACCTGACCCCAGAGAAGCAAGAAGGGGCTCGTGCTCTCTGATCTCCGCCTGCACAGGCCCTGGCATGCTTGACCTTATGACCTTACGAGCACTAAGGCTGTTCAGCCTTTTCCTATCGGGAAGTACTTCCTACGAAAGGGTGACCTGTGAGTCCTTAGTCTTGGGTTCCTGTCAGGGGCCGAAACGCCCAGCGCAGCCAGGACACCAGGCGGTGAAGCCCAGCGGATGGAGAGCAGGGATTTCCCCACGGCTGTTTGTTCTGCGGCCAATGAACGTGGTGTTGAGAAGCTGATTCCATGTAGCGTTAAGCTTTGACATGGGACTGTCAACAGTGGAATAAGGTGACAGATGAGACTCAGTACGAGACCCAGGGTGACCCCGTGGATGCACGAGCTAATCAGTGCTTCTCTGCTTTATCTCAGACACTCAAGCCCCGAGGGTTACACAAGCTGGTTGCCTTGCAGCGTCTTGTTGTTGGTTGTGTGAAGAACACACAAAGCTCTAGAGGTGCTTAGACTATCCAGGATTTCGGGATCCTCTTGAAAACCTAGAAGATTGGGCCCTTGTTGGACACCTGGAAAAGACCGGCTGGAGCTGGTAATTTTCAGGTCCCAGTAGTCTCCTGGCCTCCCTCTGCCTACACTGCCCCGCCAGCGGGCCATGTCCCACGTATCACTGCGCTGGTCCGTGCTGCTTCTCCTGCCGAACAGAAACACTTCTCTGAACCTGTGACGCCAGCAGAGGAGGAAAAGCGAACAGCAGCCGGAAATGGCAGCTTCGTAAGTGGAGGTCACCTGCCCAGCCACGGGAGGCATCTGAGCTTGCTTTTCCCATTCAGAAGAGTGGACCCTGACTCTGTTCCCTCCTCAGCAATGCGTCCCCTAGGGACATCTCCTTACACACCGGGCACCCTCAGGGGGGTGTAATCTGCAGAAGTAGCTCCTGGTACCCCACTTTGGTGTAGAATCATTGCTCTTAAAATGGAAGGAAATGCTCCTTGAATCAATCAGGTAGTCCAATGAACCCTAAGTATCTAAGTTAGCTTGGCAATGACTTCTATGAGACTGACACCTTAAAAGGGTCTTTGGCAAACGAAATAATTATGCCCCCTGTCTTCACACAGGCCTGGAAAGAGTGCCACCACTTCTTTCTTAATGGCCCCAAGTGACAGCATCCCAAATGTGCCATTAGGTTACTTTTAAAAATAAAGTTTGTTAGATCGTAATGCTGTCTGAATTTACCACCTTTGTCAAAAAAGCCAGCTCTGAGCTTCTGATGTAGTCTGTATTCCTCAAAGTCAGCAACTAGGGGCAGCTTCCGCATCCATAATCAACCTTTCACTGGCCAGGCAAGCTTCCCCAAATAATCTTAGTGAACGAGTGGTCTTGGTCTTCTCAGATTCGCCTGCTTTCCTATGTCCCTTTTGAATAACCTCCTCTGGAAAATTACCACGCCTTGCTGCACTGAAGCCGTAGCTTTTAGGACAAGCTCCCTTAATGAATTTATATAGGAAGGTAACAGCCTCTTGACCGGAATCTGGTTACATTTTAAAAGTTCATTCCATACGGGCTGTTTGCAGCTTAGCCTGCCTGTCTCTTTAACAGCCACATTATAAATATGGATGAATTCACTGAGGTTTACCCACAAATGTCCCTTCAGCCATGCAAAAGGGATTGCCTCATACTATTTTTTCCCAGCACAGTTACTCAATGAAGTCTCTTACTCCTTCCATAAATTTGACGTGTTAAGTATTAGAAAATACCAGGAAATGCCACTTCAGGTTAACCATCAACTAGGCCGGCTGCTGAGGGGAAGCAGTGCTTTCTCCACTGCTTCCTAGTGAGGGCTCTCCCCCAATACAGGGAAACACGGGGTGCAGAGAGCACCATTGCCAGAAACTGGAAACCTCGAAACTCCGATGCCGCCCTCGGAGAGAGAAGATGGAGGAGCCAGGACACCTCCATTTGTGCCCAGGAAGACGGCAGGCACTCGGTTCAGGTGCCAGCCGTGGGGTGGGGAGGAGGGACTCCCACTCCAGAAAACACCAAGGCGGAGGTGGCTTCTGCCCCCGCACTGCTGCGAAGCGCTTGCTCCCCAGCTCACAGGCGTGTGGATGCCAGCGTGTGGCGGTGCCCTCATGGGAGCACTGACCTGACCTGGTGGAGATCACCCCTGGTCCGCAGCGGGCCGGCCAGGCCAGGTTCAAACACCAGCCTCCCGGGCATCCTGTCCACATGATGGCTTTACGGGCCAGGCCCCTCCAGCGGGAGGCCCTGTGCGTGCAGCCACTCGTCTGAATACCTGGGCAAGCGGGGGCAGCACCGCCCGGCCAGGCGGGGAGGAGAAACCTGGCAGAGTTTCCGTCCGAGCAACGGCCAGCCCCCCAGGGCACTGGCTTGTGCCCCGTGACCTGGGAGCTGTCCTGTGAGGTTCCCATTACGCAGATGTCTTGCGAGGAGATTGCAAAGGTCCTGAGAACCCCCTGGGCGGGGAGAGGGGCGCAGGGCCAGCTCGCCTAGGTGGGGGGACCGTGAGCCAAGGGGGGAGAGAGGTCAGGGTGAGTAAAACCCAGCTCTGGGCTTCAGCTACGGCCCAGGAACTGCCCTGCAGGGCAGTGTCTATGGGCACTCCCCCTCCAGGTCAGCGGGGGGCGATGGGGTGATGGGGAAGGAGGGGAGTGGGCAGGAGGAACAGCCATGCTTCCCTGCGGCATCCGTGGGTGCTCACCAAGCACACGCGCGCGCACACACACACACACATGCACACACACACGCACATGCACGCACACGCACGCACACGCGAGGAGGGCACTGCTGTTTCGCTGCCACAGGAAGGGATGCCCTCCTGCACACTCTGCCCTCCCTGGAAACCAGTGTCCACTGACAAAATGCCAGGATGGGGACCACTCTCTCACCCCTTCCCCCTTCTCCTGCAAACCACACGGTGACGGGGAGGGGACACTGGGGAAGGAGCGGAATCTGCGGGTTCACCAGGGAAAGCCGAGCTGGCAGCGCGTTGGCAGTGCGTGGTGAGCATTACCTCTGGCCAGGGCTTCCCAGGAGGCTCTGCTCCCGTCCCGGGGGCTCTGAGAGCAAGCATCCTGCAGCAATAGCTAACAGGTGGCCGACCAGACACTCTCTGGTGGGAGAGGGTGAGAAAACAGGCCTCTGGGCGCTCTGTCACCCAGGTTGGTGGGGTCAGAGACATGCTGTAGGGTTTAGCAGGGCCCCTCCCTCGTGGCGAGGCAGACCAGATTATGTGCCTGTGTTTTTTTTCTTTTTCTTTTTAAAAATATATCTCTTTATTGATTTCAGAGAGGAAGGGAGAGGGATAGAGAGACAGAAACACCCATGATGAGAGAGAATCATTGATCGGCTGCCTCCTGCACGCCCCCTATTGGGGATGGAGCCCACAACCCGGGCATGTGCCTTTGGCCAGAGTCGAACCTAGGACCCTTCAGTCCGCAGTCCGACGCTCTATCCACTGAGCCAAACCGGCTAGAGCTATGTGACCGTTTCAGTGTTTCCTCTTGTGGTCGGTAAAACACTCATGCATCACTAAAGCCGCCCTTCCATCATCTTGAAGGAACTTTTCCCCTGCCAGAACAGAGCATGCATCCAGCAGAAACCTAAAGAACATTTCCTAAGCAACCGCGGGCCCCCCGTCTAACACCGCCCTCGTACCTGTGACGAGGCTGGAGATGATCAGCGGCAGCACCAGCATCTGCAGCATCCGCATCAGGAGCTCCCCCGGGAAGGAGAAGTACTTGACCTCCCGGTAGGTCATTTTGTACGGCCGGAGTGTGAACCCGAGGATCGTCCCTGAGGGGGGAGAGGAGAAAAAGGAGGAACACAGTCTTTTTCAAACCGAAGTAACAGTCCTAGAAAATGGAATAAGGATTGTCTGGTGACCATGCCTGTCGGACAAGAGTAACTTTATTGAAGCAACAATCAGGTGTGCCCATCTTTTCACTCCGTCTGGGAGGGGAGGGCTGAATCCAGGGCTCCAAGCAGAACTGATAGGAAAGTTCTTTGTCTGACTTAAATGCAGTGGAATCAACGTGGACATGGCTCAGCACAGAGTTACAAAGATGGGGCATAACTAGGAGACAAATGATGTATGCCCGAACAAGGCCATATAAAAAGCCTTAGTATAACGAAGTCCCTACGTACAGCAGATGTTCAGAACGGCTAGCATAACGGCCTATAATGGGTGGTGTAATTTTATTTTTTCCAAAAGAAATCACACATTTCCTCTGGTCCACACTGCGAACCCAGTTGCATCATTCCTGTGCCCACTCACCACTCTTTTTACATGGTCTTGGCATCCCCTGGGCAGCTGTATTGTACAGTCGTGTTAGTTGCTGGCAAGAGAAGACTGCTAAATGAGCAAAGACATTTTTCCCAACAATTTTCCCCTTAAACTCAGAGAAAATTAAGGAAAAGACACAGCAATTTTCTCCTCAAATTTCTTCCTTCTCCTGAAACTTTAAAACATATGTTAAATAAAACATATGTTAAATATAATAACTTTATGTGTAAATCAAATTGCACATGCTACCTTTTGAAATATTTGGAAATGAACAAAGATAGTGATTAAATTTTACTACTTCTCCCTTGCCCTAATTTACATTCTTTGCCCCCCAAATTTAGTTGTTCCATTATTGTAATTGTTTATTTTTATGCCCAGCTATTACTAACATGTGTCTAGATGTAGCTATTCATGTAAGCTACTGATTAGGGGATTGGGAGAGAATCCTGGGTAGACACAGCTTTTCCAAAGGATGCAAGCAGTCTTTCCAGGAAGCTGCACCATCCTAACTTCTTATGATATGGGGCACGAAATTCATTTCCATTGTCACTTCAACTCCAATTTCAACTCTTGGCTCTCAGCAGCCATGAAGCATCTATTCTTTGAGGACGTACTCTGATACTCCAATTAGAGCCTGTATCTATGTGACTAAAAAATAAAATCTGGGTCACTCAGTGTTCAGGGTCCTCGGAAAAATATGTATTGCTTTTTATCCTAATGTAACAGTAATATGTTTGAGAGAGAAAGGTTGATTTGGAAAATGTAGAAAAGTGTCAGCAAAAGTCTGCCCATCTTGGTTCCACCACTTACATAGCACATGCTCATGCTTTACTGAGCTCTTAGTATATGCCCGGCATTGTTGGCTGTGCTTTGCTTGTGTTAGAAAATTTAGGCCTCATTAAATTTAATACCCAGGAGGTAGGTGCTGCTTAACAACTAATTTACCGATGGAGAAATCTAATCGCAGGGAACTTAAAACTTATCCAATTCCAACAGCTACTCCATCTCAAAGTCAAGTAGCTACTCAAGTGGCAGAGCTGGGAGTTAAGCCCAGGTGGTTCTGGCTCAGACCTCACATCCTTTTAATTTTTCTGTGTGCGTGTGTGTGCACGTGTGTGTGTGTGCGTGTCTGGTGTGTGTGTGTGTGTGTTTTAATTGATTTGAGAGAAAGCGGGGGGAGGGGAGGAGGAAGAGGGATAGATAGAAACATTGATGAGAGAGAAACATCATCGATTGGCTGCCTCATGCACACCCCCTTCCTGGGATTGAGCCCATAAACTCGGGCATGTGCCCTGACCAGGAACAGAACTATAACCTCGGGTTCCTAGGTCAGCGCTCACTGAGCCATGCTGGCCGAGCAGATCTCACATCTTGAGCACCTCACATACTTCCCGCCTCTCCACTTAAGGGAAAGACAATCACGGTCATTTCAGTCATCACTGTCACTGCCGGTATATACACACACACGTCTATGTGCCTTTTTATTAAGTGGTTTCTTCAAGAGTTATAGACTTTCATTTCCCTCCCTCTTCCAAGTTTAATACATCTTTAATTCAGTTTTTCTTCTTTGATTGTTTGCTTGCTTTGTTTTAAGGTATTGAACTTGGTTTAGGGTAAGGCATTGACTTCCGAGTTTCAGTGTACACAGGAATTGCACAAGACTCTGGTTATACCTGTGTCTTTCCTGCTTATTCATTCCAAGGCTTTCTCTTCTAATAAGTAAGTAAATCAATAAAGATTTATGCATTTTTACTTTACTTCTAGTCACATGTAATTTCACTGGAATTATGTTTGCTGGCCTTTATTTAAATGAATTAAAACAATTATAACAAAAACATATACACAGGAAACTCGCTTTGGTCACTTGGAATTTGAACATATCAAGCTATTAGAACTTTTCTATATCCTTCAAGTAACTATTTAAGACCAGATTTGGGTTTACAAGGTCATCTCTAAGTTGGCTACTACTAAAAATGTCTCTATTCACGTACAACATTTCCAAAGGTGAGTAGGATCCACACTAATCCAGAAGATCTATTTAAGTTATAATTTAGGAAAAATGGGTAGAATAGCTGCTCTACAAATGACACAGATTCTAGGCTAAGCAAGAGTCAAGTCAGTGTAGACGGAGGAAAAGATTATTCTTTCTAAACACTAGGGGCACTTGATCCCAACCCCCAAGGTCCAATCTCTGCCAGCACGGACTTTACTCCCCTCTGCAGCCGCACCAGCTGCACGCTTCCCTCCTTCTCCTCTCCTGGGGCTCCATGGACCTTCTCTCCTCTTCCTCCACCGAACCCCACATGTTCTCAGTGCAGCCAGTTTTCGTCTAGGGGTTAGGAGGCAAAGTCAGCCGGCTCAGTGAATGGATTCTGGACACCACGTGAATGATGAAGTCTCTTAACTGCCCAATCTGCCAAATAAATATCTAACAGACCACAGCAAGACAGTCAAGGAGCCAACATCTCAAGAGGTGGTGAAATTTTTTCTTCTGTCTCCTTCCAGTCAATAAGCCGGTTTGCTTGGAAGTACTGTCCTGATATCAACAATCTGGTCTGTCTCAGTTTCTTTACATTCTCCAGTGCAGGAACCACATCTTCTAAATGCACACCCCCTTCCTGGGATTGAGCCCATAAACTCGGGCATGTGCCCTGACCAGGAACAGAACTATTTAGAACAGGGACACCAGAGGAAACATCACCTATTTATAAGGGCTAGTTTTAAGTCAAATGCTTTGAAAACAGGAGTTGTTTAGACTAATAAATATTGTTAATCCATTAAATTAGTTTTGTTCCTGACTATGCTTTGATCTGTTTACTATCTCGGGGGTTCCCAAGTGAGCCATGTCTACTCTTGGGGAAGAGATCATGTTGGGGAAGGGGAAGATTTATTGAGCCCTTAGTATGTGTTAATGGGGGCATGAGCCTCCTCGCAGCTGTATGAAGTACCGTATTTTTCGGACCATAAGACGCTCCGGACCATAAGACGCACCAGTTTTTTGAGAAGGGAAATGAAGAAAAAAAGATTCTGAAACAAATAGTGTCCTAAAATATTTTATGTGCATTAAAACCCAACATCACAGTCATAAACACATGTAATCAACCCTGTAAAGTAAACAGCAGCATTTAGAACCATTTTAGAGCTGGGCAAGCACACAGAGACCACACAGAGCCGGGCAAGTAAAGTATATGTGTAGGCTATATTTGGACCATAAGACGCAGGGACTTTTCCCCCCCACTTCTGGGGGGAAAAAAGTGCGTCTTATGGTCCGAAAAATACGGTAGATATTATCATGTCTATTTTCAAGATGAATACACAAATTCATCTTATTCAAGGTTACAGAACTAGGGGATCTAAACAAAGCGTTCTACTACCTTCAATGCCTCTTCAACACAAGCACATCCTTGCAGCCTGAGTCTAGCTCCTGGGTGTTAAGCCTCTCTAAACTCTAACCTGTGGGAGCATTGGAGTGATTGTCGTGGATCTGCTAGAGGCATCCTGGGGGTACCCAGCACATCTTGAAACCCATTTCAGGTCCTACACACGAGGACCCCAAAATATGGCTATTTGTAGCATATCACTGACTCCCCTTTTACGGAATGATTAAACTTGTATGAAATTTATTGATTAACATAGCCCACCTCATCCCTCCACCGCACACATTTGAATTCTTGGAAAGCATCAGCAGCAAAGGTGGAAAGGACATCCCATAAAACCCTGCTTCAGGTTCCCATGGGCAATGACAACAGCTAACGGTCCTCAGCACATGCATGACCCAAGTCCTCACAAGGACACTGCCTCACAGGTCCATGGAGGCCAAAACTAGAAGTGCCCGGGACCCACAGATGCAGGACCAGAGCCACTGAGAGGCCAGGTAAACTGCCAGAACCTCCTAGATGGCTCAGGTTGGAGCGGTGGTCCATGGAGAGAGGGATCGGTCTGCTTGCCAAAGGCCAGGTAAGTGCCCCACGTAGTCTTCACACCACTTATCCAATCCAGGCCCCAGACTCCTACTCACTATGGTCCTGCTACTAATTTAAAGGGCCCAAGTGAGTACACAATATAATGACTGGCCTTTTGTTCTGTTTTGAATTAGGTAAACTAACTGCAGAGCTTAAGCTGGGAAAAGGTTTTGTTGAACTTACTTAATGAAGTCAACACAAACTTACTTAATGAAGTCAACACAAATTGTTTCTCAATTCAAACAAAATATCCTTTTCTAGCATTTTCCAATTTAAACAAAACACCAATTTCAAGCAAAATACCCTTTTCTTGCCTGGCCAGCTGGCTCAGTGGTTGAGCATTGACCTATGAATCAGGAGGTCACGGTTCAATTCCTGGTTGTGGGCATATGCTGATGTTGTGGGCTTGATCCCTAGCATGGGGTGTGCAGGACGCAGCTGATCCATGATTCTCTCTCACATCAATGATGTTTCTATCTCTCCCTCTCCGTACCTCTCTGAAATCAATAAAAATATACTTTTTTTTTTTTTAAATACCTTTTTCTTCA